TCCTCTTACTCTGATAGAAGGCATTTGATTCAGACACTATTTTACTCTGCTTCTTTCCCTAAGGACAAAACACGAGGGATATCTTGACCCATGGTACCAAGTGGGTGCCAAACAAAAGGAATAAATTGGCTGTAGCTCAATTTGGGGTATAGATTAATAGAGCTGGAAAGGACCTGAGAAATCCTCCTATCCTTGCTTCTTCCTCTGTGAAACTCATAGGAACCAGAGAAGTGAGTTAAGGCTTTAGAGTGGAAGAAATCCAGGGACAGGGCTGAGATTTACTGACCTTTTTGGCATAATAATTTTAATATTTATTCATTATTTTAGATTGGTTACTATTGGGACTTCCTGCGTGCTTGTTGAATGTATAACGAATAATGCTGATGCATAAACTAATAGTTCACATCTCTCTCCCCTAATCTGGCTCTCAATCCTCACTTATCAGAGATTTTGTATTTAGGGTTTTGAGTGAAACATGGCTCAGTTGACCAGGTTTTTTCCTCGGCTATGTTTAGAAACAGGGCTTTAGAATAATTTGTAAGTTTTTTTTTTCCTCCCCCATGAGAGTCTAGATTTGGGTACAGATGTGACCTGTACCCTTTACTCTAAGTAAACTGACCTCTTTGAGTCTCGATTTCTTCATCTGTAAAATGATAATTATAATCATATCAACTCCTTAAGAATTATTGTTAGAATCAATTTGAGACAGTATGAAGTTTTCCACACAGTGCCTCTCTAAGGTCAGAGCACTCAGTAAGATTTGCTATTGTATTAGCTCACAAAAAGTAAGAGTTAAAATATTAAAACATTTGACTACAGCTATTTAGACAATTTATTTACTTTTTGTCTTTTCTCTGTTGGAACTGGGATCAAACTCAGGGCTTTGTGTATGCAATGAAAGCACATTACCACTGAGCTACATCCTAGCCTCAATTTAAAACTCTTTAAGAAGAATTCTTAAGAGAGACACACAGTCTCTTTTAAGGAGAAAAATTTTAAGTAGTAAAATTCACAGTGGAGTAAACACATTGAACATTGCAGAGTTCTGTGCTAAAAGAATCTCAGTGTACTTTGTCACTGACCTGCTAACCTGAAAGGCTTTTTAGATTTTCTTTACTATGAGGAGTGTTATGAGTTTGTTGTAATTTTTGGTAGATGAATTTATATTTATTTGTTTTTAATTGAAAGCTAAGGTGATATAAATACCTCTTGGAAATCAGGGCAGTAAGAATGGTTTGCTTAATGGCAAACCAGGTAATCAGTCAAAACTTGTTAATATTCACTTAGTGCATAAGTATTTACTTCTGGATTAGCCCCTAACAATAATAATTCTGAAGATTTATTTTAATAATGAGTCTGAAGCTTTTTTAAAAAATAAACTTAAGTCTTCTGAAATTTTAACTGGAAATTGTTTATTTTTATCTTTTTTTAGGGCATTGGGTTTGAAATGCCCTAAAAATTTTTACTTGTGTGAAATTATCATTTTATATTAAATTGATAAGAATACTTTGAATATGCCTTCCTTCACCTAGTTGTAAACTTGGCTGTGGTCATGATGGCAACTGGCTAGAGAGTTCATGTCACTATTTTAAGGCTTAAAAATTAGATATGTTTACAGCCAAGAAATAAAAAGTCCAATCCGGAACTTGAGTCTTTCTGTGTATTCTTTTTAGCATTGATTGGTATGTTCAATGTGGTTTAATATTCTCTTCAATATTTGTACTCACCATCAAAGGGCTACTGTGCCAGTTCTCTTTGTGGCAAGGCAGGAAAGTTTCTCTATAATTTCTAAATAGCAAGTAATATTGTGGCCTAGGAAAAAAAAAGACTAAAATATATTTTTTGAGACTCTGAGTGATTTGGATACTACTGCTGAATCTTTACTAATACACCTGGATTCAGTTCAGCAAATATGTCTTGAGTATATATTAGTTTTTTCCTCAGTATCTTTGGGAATGGGTTCCAGGAATGCCCACCCCCTAATAGATTTCAAAATCCACAGATGTTCAAGACCTTTATATAAAATGTATAGTGTTTGCATATATCCTACATAAATCCTATATACCATAAGTCATCTCCAGATTATGTATAGATGTAGCACAATGAAAATTCTATGCAAATAGTTGTTTACTGTATTGTTAGGGGATATTGACAAGAACAAAGTTCATATGTGTTCAATATTGGCAGTTTTTTAACCCCTCAAATATTTTCAATCTGCAATTATTTGAATTCAGGGATGACATGGAGGGCCAAGTGATGTTCAAGCTGTTTATCAGTTGTTGCCCTCAAGAAGTCTAGAATCCAATAAGGATCTGCCTGCTTGTAGATAGGAAGTAATAGTTTACCATAGTCAGTGGATGAAACATATATGCATATGTGTGCAATCAAAGTCATGCTTAAGGCATGGATACTTTATAGATTATTATTTTTATTTATGGTTAGGCAACTGAATTTTATAAAAGAGATGGATACTGAGAATATTTCAGATGGATAAACATGGACTTTAAGGAAAAATCATTAGCTGAGCATCGTAACACATGCCTATAATTCCAGTGGCTTGGGAGGCTGAGGAGGATAATTACCAGTTCAAAGCCAACCTCAGCAACTTAGTGAGGTCCTAAGCACCTTAGTGAAACCCTGCCTCTAAATAAAAAGGGCAAGGGAGGTGGCTCAGTGGTTCAATCCCCAGTACAAAAAAAAAAAAAAAAAAAAAAAGAAAGAAAGAAAGAAAGAAAAGAAACAATCATTAGTTAGGTGCCATGACATACACCTGTAATCCTAGTGATTTGGGAGGCCAAGACAGGAGGATCTCATGTTTGAGGCCAGCCTCCGCAATTTATTGAGACCTTATCTCAATAAAAAGGACTAGGAATGTAGCTTAGTGGTAAAGTGCCTCTGTTTTCAACCCCCAGTACAAGGAAGAAAAAGAGAAGAAAAAAAATCATGTTTTTATTGTTGGAGAGTATTCCAAGAAATGGGAATGTTGTGAAAGTATAAAATGGCATATAGCAGATAGCTTAGAATATACACTGTGAAAAGGATAATGGAGGGAGAGAAGGTAGAAGTGGGTGCAGGTCTATAACTTGAAAGAACTGGCATGCTTACTTTAGATCTCAGAATTTTTTCCTGATATATAGTCATCAACTTAAAGTAATGAAAAGATCTAAGCTAGGAGGTGAAAGGATGGAATTCAGTTAGCTCCCTCTGGTTATCATCTGGAGTTTAGATTGAAGAGGATTGAAATTGAGGTACAATCATTAGAACTGAGAAGGGTTAGAAATGTTCAGGAGTGAGTTTTAATTTAATAAACTTGTTTAACTGAACTGAGGTGATGAGCTAATGAACAGAGTCATAACAGAGGGACTGAAGGAAAGAGGCAGAGAGGTGGACTAGGTAATTGACAGGACCCAGAGACTGGGTGGTTAGGTTACCATCAGCCCAGCCCAGGGACCCTGCCTGAGTCCTGGTTGGCTGGATTTTACCACCCGCCCTAATAAGAAATAGGCAAAAAATGAAAAATGAACTTTATGCAGTTTAATCAAACTAGGGAGAAACAACTAAATTATTTCTTATTTCTCCTGCCAGCCCCACAGAGGCATTACAATTTATAGAAACAAAAGCCAAGTGATAGACATGTGTAGATTTAGAAGACCTGAAGAGGAAGCACAATGGGAAAAACGACAGGAAGTACTGATGCAGATTGAGTTAGCTGTGCTGCAAAGGCCTGGGCAGAGGCCCATTTCTGGTTTGGGGGTTCAGCTCTTACTCCCACTTGAGAAAGTTCCTCTTAATTCAGTAGGGTGCTCCCAAATTCAGTCTGTTTTAGTGACAGACTGAATGAGTTACAGAAGGATGAGTAAGAGAGTGTAGTCTGGGTTTAGACCTTGGCTACTGATGCAGTTGCCAAAAAAGAAGAATAAAGAAGAAATGTTAGGGGCTGGGGATGTGGCTCAAGCGGTAGCGTGCTCCCCTGGCATGCATGTGGCCCGGGTTCGATCCTCAGCACCACATACAAAGAAAGATGTTGTGTCCGCTGAAAACTAAAAATAAATAAATAAATAAATATTAAAAAAAAAAAGAAGAAGAAGAAATGTTAGAGAGGTGAATTTGATTTTTAGGTGGAGATGGCTAATAGGCAATTGGATAGAAACATGACAGTCAGACATGAGGCCAAGAGGAAAACTATAGACTTAGGAGTCGCTTGTACATGGGTAGTGATCGGTGAGAGATGTTGGGAATGAGAAGACAGCCAGCGGGAGCACTCAGGGCAGGTATTCTGAGGAAGCAGACACTGGGAAGAAATAGAAAGAGAAGTGGGTTGGAAATAAAATGTTACAGGAACTGAGGAAAGAATAACATGTCCAAAACCAGAAGTCACGGAGGATATTGATTGGCTTTGCAAATTTGAAAGTCACTTAGCAGTAGCAGTCTGGGATAGAAGGCAATTCCATTGGAATGGTAATTTGTATCCTACCTTTGCTACTTATTTATTCTGTGACTTGGGAAAGCCATTTCATTTGTCATTTTGTCTGTAAAGACTTGATTAGCTTCTTGGTGGGATTCAGTCTGATCTGGGGAACCCTAGGAGTTCGGAAAAGATGCCTTGAGGCTTATCAGGAAGAGCAAAGATAAGGTCAGATATTTATGACAGGATGGGGTACATGTACTCTCCCCTTTCTTCGAACAGTATTTTACCTTAATATATGATTTCATTAAAATAAATGTAGTGCAGAATAAGAAATTGTATAACTACTGGCCTACAGGACCTTTAAGATACTTTCCAGCTTTAAAAGCTATATTAATAGCTGATGAATTATTAATAACTATTATTAATAATCATAGATGCTAACTTGTTTATGATTTGTATTTTATTCAGAGGTCAGAATTAGTGTGTGAATGTATATAATGATAATTATTCTTACTTTCATTAGGACTGAAAACCTCTAAACAAATCCATTCTGTTATATACTTTGTTAAAAACTTTTTTTGTTTCTTGCCAGGTTCTGACTCAGAAGATCTTTTGGAAGAATTGCTCTGCTGTTTGATGCAGTTAATCACTGATATTCCACTCTTGTAAGTTCTGGCTAAGCCAGGATTTGTTTTATCTCCTTTGTGTATTGAAGATGATAATAGATAATGTTAAAGAGTTTGTAGGTCCATGTGTAGTATTTTTATGTGTGTCTTTTAAGGATTTTACATCCATGGAATTCCTTTATCTCTCTTGCCTAATAGTATTTATATTTTGATTATATATCATCAAAATAATAATTTTATATTAAGGGAAAATAATCAAATCTTTTGGCAATATTAAGCGTTAGGCACAAAATTAGATTAATCTCTATAATAAGAGATTTTATAGATCTATGGAAATGAGTTTGAGAGAAAAGCAAATTTGTATGTCATAGACACAGCTAGTTAGCCATTCTATATTTGTTCTACCTTTTTTCCTGGCCTGATTTTATTTCTGGCCTCTTTTCAGAGATTTCTGTGTCCAGCCTTCTTTGCAGCTAGGGGGGAAGTTGAGACCTGGGGAAATCCTCCAATAACACTTTTGGGTAAAACACTTAAGAAGGAGGGGTATCTTTTTGTACTTGACAACCCTTTTGTTGTCAAGGAATGTGGACAAGGTCTTTTGAGTTGTCTGGCAATTTTGGCACCCTGAACCAAGTATGTAACAGAATATTCTGCTTGGATGTTATTGAGCTGCTGAAGCAAAATCGTCAACTAGGGTCCCCCTCCCTCATTCCAGACTTCTAGTGTGATAACAGTAGACCCTTGTTTGTCTATGTTATTGTGACTGGATTTCTGTCACTGATAGGGCAGCTGAACCCAAATATTGTCTGCTGTTTCCTTATCGTAGCATGTGGAGTGCTTCAGATGCTTCTGATTTAGTTTTACAACTCTAGTAACATTTTTTTCATTACCAAATAGCAATGATTTAATATATTTACTAAATAGTTACATTCTTTTTTGTTGTTTTACCTTTATTAATAAAATGTTTTGGTGAAGTTAAGGGGGATGAAAACTGTAAATATCTTTAGGTAGGAAATAAGCTGTGTGAACATAGTGGGTGAATAGCTACTTAGACACTCTTGAAGAGCAAGCGGTGTTGCAATCTATCAAACATTTCAGTGTTTTAATGTGTTTATACTTTTTAAATGAACTGAAAATGCACAGACAACCAGATGTCTTGTGTTATGTACACTCAGCTTTAACCAGCTGCTGAAACAATTTTTTATGATTTAATGGTCTTGGAACTCCATCCTATGAGAAGGTTTGTCTTGGTTACAGTTTCCATGTGAAACCAAGCTACTCTTTAAACTATAACTATAGTGCAGTATTATAGATCTGCCTATGATTTAAGGGGAATATCAATATATGAAATCTGGGAATGGTGTCACATCTAAACATCGTCAAGCTTGCCATGAAGTTTTCACGTTAACCTTGACATGTTTGTGCTGAATTAGCAGGTGAATAGTGAGAAATCTAATTTTAGTACTCAGAGAGTAAGTCAAAACTTAGCTTAAATGTTTCTCATGAGACTCTGTTAAGTCATTTTATTAAAATTGAAAGAAAAATTATTACCAAAGGGGACACACACACACACACACACACATATTTATACATGTTACTTTATTACTAAGAGAATAGGATCAACAGTAGTACTGTAGGTTAGATGAACCCCTAGAAGTTTATTGCAATGAACTTTGCAGGGTTCATTTGAAGAGGAGATTGACTTTTAAGTTGTTAGCAGCCACTGCTTTTTAGACACTTTGGATTACTTGTTAAAATATTAATTCTATAAGGTATAAATCTTTAAAGTCAAAGTTGCAAATCTCTGAGGAATCCTTCTTTAACTCCATATCTCTCAGCATTTATATAATAAAAATAAAGATTGTTATATGTAGACTTCCTTGTCCCTTAATATTTTTTCAGTGTATTGGGGTTGATACCACTAGAATTTAAATTAGTATTCCAAGAGAAAAACCATGCCTTTGATTTTTAGACCGTCTGTGATCTCAAGGGAATTGGAAAGAAATAAAGTAAGAGAGAGGTATTTTCCTCAGGACATTAACATGGAGTGTAATATATACGCCAGAGTCAAGCCCGAAGTTTAGAATTTGAACAGCGTTGGTTTGCACAGTGTCACTGAAAGGGCCGAGGGAGACCTGTGAGAATCAACTCAGTGGCGAGGTTTACTTGGGGCTACAGCACCAGCAGCAGTTAGGTTATATTTAGACCCAGTACTATATTTATATTTTGGGGACTGCTTATGATGTTGTTTTGTTGTGAAATAGAAGTTTTTGAATAGAGGACTTGAAGTAGATTTCTTTTTTTTTTTTAAAGAGAGAGTGAGAGAGGAGAGAGAGAGAGAATTTTTAATATTTATTTTTTAGTTCTCGGCAGACACAACATTTTTATATGTGGTGCTGAGGATCGAACCCGGGCCGCACGCATGCCAGGCGAGCGCGCTACCGCTTGAGCCACATCTCCAGCCCTGAAGTAGATTTCTGACCTAGTCTTTTTATCTGTTTTTGTTGCCCTAAGTGTGGGCCATGCTGATGCTGTTAGCTGTATGTGATGATGTCATCGTCAAGTACAGGCCCTGTTCCTCCTTTCTTGTGCTGTTCCCTGAGAGGTCTGTGCAGAGTAGGCCTTTCTGTTGGTACCAGGCCTGACATGCAGCCTTTCCCTGTGAGATCCATTCATGTGGTGGTCTCCTTTCTGAACCTGTGAACTCATTGTGAACTGGGCTCAATTAATTCTTATCCTGGCTTTGATTTGTAGATTTTTCAGTGATAGCTTAATCTGAGGAAACCTTTCCTAGTTTTTTCATGGGCTATGGATTGATGAAGATGAGATTTTGTAATCAGTTGCCGTCACTACTGCTGTTTAGTGGCTGTGTAGTGTGACTTTGTGTACTTGTTGAGTGCAGGGAGTGTTTGGTGTCAGCTGCTCACCTTGTCCACACTCCTTCTGTGCCAGCCATCCTCTCTCCAGCATCTTTAACATTCTTCTTCTGCCTTGACTCTCTCTTTAGACACTTCCATGACTCTTTCCCTAACTTCCTTTCAGCTTTCTTCTGCTCAGGGTCTGTTTCTCAGAAATTGTTCTTTCAGCTACCCTAAAACAGCTCCCAATCCTTCTCTGCCCTCTTGTCATGCTTCTTTCTTTGTCTAAACACTTAGCACTACTTTTCATATTATCTGTTCTCTCTCTTGTTTGCAATTTTCAAATAAAATTTTAATGAAAGCTCCATGAAAACCAGGAGTCTTCATGTGCCAGTGTTTGTTTTGTTCTCTGCTATATCCCTGGTATTCAGTTCTATGTGGTAGAGCCTCAAAAGATATTTATTAAATAAGTAAATTAGTAGGATACAACCTATTTAATGTGTTAAAACATTTTGTTTGCTTATTTTTCATTATTTAGTTTGTACAGAAACACAGTATTGTGCTAAGGCAATATTCCCTTCCAAGTGGTATGGCTCAGATCCCTTTGTACTTGGTACCTTTTGTTATGTAACAAACAGGTGTCTTACTGACATTTTTAGAAGTCAAAACATCTGACAATATTTAAGGAAATAAGGGACTTTGGGCTTTTTATTTCAGTTTCCCCAGATTATCCCTTCATAGTACAATAATTTCTTTTTAATTAAGTTAATCCTTGAAAAATGTATTTTAAATATATGACGGATATATATTGTACGAGGCCCAGGTTATAGAAAGGAGTGACTCTTAAAAACCTTGGAGATGGAAAGATACACAGAAAGATAGCTCCGTAAGAGGAACAGTGGATAAAAGCATTTGGAGTGATAGTGATTATTAGTGGCTAAATCATTGAAGAGTTAGAAAGGAGCTGGATAGGGACCTCTCATGGTGAGTAATACGTTTGGAGAATAATAAGAGCATTATTATTTTGATTTGATTACAGCAGGTTTGTAGAAATTTAGGGCTGGGAAAGCTTTGTTATTTGATGGAGTAAAGAGTTGACTGTTAGAGGATTGAAGTTTTAATTATGCTTAGGATTCTCTTTTTTACATATAAACAGCCTAACTTTTAGATCTATTTCTCTGCTGTCCATTTTGGAAATTTGGGGTGGTGGAATAAAACTAAAACTGATTAATAATCTTAGTTATAACATTAATCATATCTGCAGGATTTCGTAAATGTAATAAAATTACATAAAATGCACATTTATTCAAATGTACATTTAGCCCATAGTCTTTAGATATTATACTGTGAAAAGTTTGAATATTGAAAGTGTTTGCTGCTAACAGTGAGTAGGTGGCTAAAGAACCTGAAGAGTCATAAATGGTTATTTATGAAGTCTCCAGTTGTTGGAAGAGAGGGAAGGTATCAGAGGCCCGTGGTTGGCAGTGAAGGGCCTGTTGGGAAAATGCTTTGCTCCCTCCTGTGCTGTTGATTCTCAAACACTCTTCCAAAGCCGGATTCAACCAGGGCTGGGCGGGGCATGGGCTACAGCAAGTCAGCAGTTGATTTAGGTGCTGTGAAGTAAACATCTCATACAGCTTTCTGCAAGAGTGAGGCATTTAAGACACTATAAGCATTGAATCAAAGCTTATGGAGTTTTTATGTACCAAGATAGTATTATATAATTAAAAAAATCCCCAATAGCTCTTTAGTTAGAAAATTGATCTGTGTCTGATGGCACTTGCCTGTAATCTTAGCAGCTTGGGAGGCTGAGGCAGGAGGATGGCAAGTTCAAGGCCAGCCTTAGCAACTTAGTGAGGCTGTAATGAACTTAGTTAGGTCTTATCTCAAAATAAAAAAATTAAAAAAAAATTTTTAAAGAAGGGAGATGTGGCCTCGTATTCAATCCCTGGTACCAAACAAAAATAAAACCCAACAACAGCAAAGAAAGAAAATTGCTGCCTGGTGTCTTGGTTGAAGGGATTTCCAGTTAATTGTTTTTAATATGTAAACATTATCTGGTTTATGGAAATATGAAAAATATTTATCAGTACACACAGTGTTGATTTTACAAGATAGGTGCTAGATTGTTTATAAATGCTTAACTGATTAATGTAAAGAGGTATGAGCTATATCTCGTAG